CTTTGATTCATCATCAGCCATTGAGTGAAAGAACTTTCACAAGGACATGTAAAAAAACAAAACAATTTATTGTTTAATACCATACAGCATGAATGTTTCTCTTCAATTTGCGTTTGAAAGGACTCAGCCACGCTAAAACAAACTTTGTGGTCGCAGGCCGTTACAAACAAAAGGTTCCTGGTTTACAGTCAAGTGCTCAGCAGGAAAAGAAGGGGCATCGTATAACTTTTGAGAGAAATTCCCTGAGATCATAAAGTGATACTGATACTCACACTTGATGGCACTACACATCTGACATGTTATTGTCAACACGAAATATTCCAGTGCAAACTTAAAATGCAAGTAGAAATCTAAAGATAATATGTACACATACATGCAGCTTCTTAAGATGGAACAGTGCTGATGACTCAACACCGTCATAGGTGGAAAAAAGGAAGTGACGGAACAAAATCATGCAGCATGAACAGTGATAATATGGACCATCATCTGGCATCCACCTCCTACATGATGAAATTGGAGGTGGCATCAGAGGACCTGGACATGACTGAGCTTTTCCTGTATGAGCTGTATGAAAGATCTCTGGGGGAGGGAAGGAGAACCCCAGGCACCCATTTCCTCAGCATGTGCAAGACTCGTCTCATGAACTTTTGTCCCACAAAGGCGTATATGATGGGGTTCAGGCAGCAGTGGGTGTAAGCAATGGTCTCGGTCACTGTTATTGACAGCATTAAATTTACTTCGCAGTCTCTCAATATAGCTTCAAGTTGCAGAGACTTTAAGAAAAGGCAAACGTTATATGGTGCCCAGAATACGAAAAAGGCAATCACTATGGAGATGATCAGCTTGACAACGCGGTGCTTCTTTGCGCTCCTCATGTTCACCAGTACGGGGATGATCCTGGAGTAGCAAACTGTCATCACCAACAAGGGAATCACAAGACCCAATAGGTTTGTCGTGACGATGTTGTAGAGAATCCAGGCATCGTTTACCGGGGCGTAGTGACAGTTTATCCCGTCAGACTCATTCGTCACCTTCGTGAAGAGAACAGCCGGCAGAGAGACGAACAAGCTCAGCATCCAGACGAGCACGGTCAGAGCGACGCCTGCCCTCAGAGTGCGATATCGCGCCACCTTGTGAGCGTGCATGATGACCACGTAGCGGTCCAGCGTCATGACAACCATGAAGAAGATGCTGCTGAAGAACCCGGTGCTGTGGGAGCCAGAGGCGAAGCGGCACATAAAGTCTCCGAAAGGCCATTGACCGACCACGGAGAAGTGCGTGTAGAAAGGCAACGTGAGGACGAAGACGAGATCGGAGACGGCCAGGTTGAAGAGGCAGATGTCTGTCAAGTTGGTCTGGCGGCGGTGCTTCACCAGGACACACACCACCAAACCATTGCCTTGGGAGAGGGAGGAAGACATGGTTTAATATTCCAGTTTATTATGCATCATATGTAAAGAAATGGTCTCGCTCACTGACTCTTAACTCTCTCACAAACACACATACCTACGATGCCGAGGACGAAAACCAAACTATAGAGAGTGGGCAGAAAGACCTTGCCAAAATCCTTCAAATTGGCGGTGCTGCAAGGACTGAATGTGTTACCGCCATAGTCATAGTCATAATAGGATGAATAATCGTACAGTTGTGTTGTCGTGACATTTTCTCCATCATCTGCAGACAAAGATAAAAACAAATAAAAAATGTTCAGCACTTACAACATCTAACGTTATTTTAGATTGAATCCTTGCACATTGGGATATAATATACAGCCTCCATTAAAACAGCCAGGTTGCAGTGAAACACATGCTGTTAGTGGAGGTAAATGGATGGAATTGAAGTTTGGTGTTCACAGCACTAAAACATAACGTTCACCAATTTTAACTGCATCATCGCAACCATTTTCATAGAGACTATTTTTTTAGAATTTTTCATTGCCGTGAGCACCACGCACAGAATTTCACTCCACCGTGTTGGTGTGAAGGCAGGAATCTGAGGGCTGGATATCTCAAGACCGAATCAAAACCAAATGAATAAAATACAATGAACCAAAACTATCTTCACTGACTGTCCCCAATGTGAGAGCGAAATAATGTAATTTGGGTGAATAAACCCTCATAGTCAATTGATAATGAAGGTTATTATGCCCCCTGTTGGTCTTCATAGGTCACTTACAAACTATGTATTTGTAGACAAAACAATTAACACACTATGAAAAGGGACTTGAACTGATATCACCGACACAAACACTGGTGCCAAGTTTCTCGTATGAGGTTGCATACCTATTAACAATCAACTTGCATACTATCCGTCATCATAAATGTGTTCACCGTATACAATTATTTTAGAACAATTTTTGAATTAAAATGGTATTTAAGTTCCTTCAGTTGTGAATTCCTTTTTGTCTGCCTTAGTTGATTAATGTTGAAGGCAATATGTTTGACAAATACATATAGTATAAAGCAGTCATTCCCATAGACAGGGTCGGGACCCACAGGTGGATCACAGGAGATTTTATTTAAGTCCCCAAATAAATATGCGAAATTTCATCCAGTCTTTTTATGTAACCTTTATATCTGCAGTACATCTCTAAATGAAAACCTTCCAAATGGAAGCCCAAAGAAATACAGTGCTGCATTACAGTGTTTGCTTTTAAGTGGAAAATGGACATAAAACCGACAGCAGCGTATTAGGACTCATTACAAATGATCACAGACAACAATATTCCTTTAACAACAATATTACACTGATCTACATACAAAGCTACATCATGTAAAACATGTACAGTTGTTAAAATTAATTCACCTGACATGGTGATGTCTCAGTGATGTCTTGTCCTGTCAGGTATAGTCAGTGGCTGCACTTCAGGGCGCCTTATTTTTCTGTCCGGATCTTTATGGACACGATATCCTCAAATGTATGACGATGTATGAACTGTCTCAAAGTCTGTACTCCCCTATTAATGAGTAGCACAGAATCAGAAGTTGTCAGCTTTCATTTCCTGTGTGCTCTTTAAGTGTGACTTCAAGATCTTTATCAGGAGCCAACAGATCACAAGGCATGCTTGATATGTAGAGAACAAAAATAACAGATTGGCACATCAAAACAAAGCAGGCACTCATATGGCCACAAGCGTGTCAGACTTTCATACCTAGACTTAAGTAAAATTATTTTTAAAATAATTATTTATCTTTTATCTTTAGATTAATATATCAATTGAAGAGTTTGAGTCTTTGATGAATAGTAACTTAGAAGAGGGTTACGGACTGATTACAGTTAGAATTATAGCTATTTTTGACTCCTTTGTAGACAGATCTGTAATTCAATCAGAGCAATGATGATATAGATTTAGTCATGGTCAGTGTAATCATAACACCATCTGACTAATAATCAGGGAGTGATACATTATGTGCCAGTCAATTTTTGGTGACAGGGGGACGCCTTTTGTTTGCTCCATTTACAGCTTTAAGTATTAGTTCAATGTGTTTAGTGTGTTTTTGTATTAGAGCAAAAACACAGTATTACCAACAGACACACATACTTTCAAAAGGCGTCTGGTATTATGATATTATGATATTGATATAGACTTGATGCTGTGTGACTGTGCCCTGTTTTTGGCTACATATTGCACAGTTTTTGTTGCTATAGATACATTCTTCTTATTGCTATTCGTATCGCTAAAGTAATGCTTTTTCAGCCCTGACTATCCATTAACGAACCTTAAGTGGAGCACCACATCAAATGCATTTGCAGCACGGACTGGTGTGCAGGATAGTGGTAGATTGGTCTATGGGTGACCCCTTGTGGTGAAGAGTCACACCTCCGTTGTGCAGGGAGATGCTGCATGAGCACGATAGCACAAAGCATGCCGGGAGAAAAGATTTGAATCTCCATCCTAGAATTTCAATGAGACATTATGCATAGAAGCTAAATTACGACTTAAAGCTTTTATTATCTCATAGGCTTATTGAACCTAACGTACAACAACGACGACGATGATGATGATGTTTCTACTACTGCCTATACATTACTAATACTAATTCTAGCAATAACGACGGCAATGTCTCTTAACCTAGAAGTGTATCACTATGTTGTCGACTCTGATGCATAATTGTATTGACTTTATTTTTGTTTGTGTCTTTATCGCAGACCGTATGATGTCTATTCGGACCGTCGCTCTCCAGCTGGCGCTCAGTGAATTCCCAATGAGACCGACTGACGTGCGATTTGCTGACGAAGGCGGTCTGGAGAGAGAGCTGCACTAAGTTAGACAGACGCAGCAGCAAAATACAGGAAGTCGTGTAGCATTGCCTTCCAAATATAAGAGTGGACGCTCTCAGTGGCGTTACAGGATCACATTACTCCAGTTCTGAGGTCTTTGCACTGGCTTCCTGTCAAACAAAGAATTGACTTTAAAATCCTGCTGTTGGTTTATAAAGCACTGAATGGTTTAGGGCCAAAATACATCTCTGATCTGCTGCTACCTTATGAACCATCCCGACCCCTTAGGTCATCTGGGACTGGTCCACTTTCTGTTCCCAGAGTCAGAACTAAACATGGAGAAGCAGCGTTCAGTTTTTCTGAGACCCTCAGCTCCTTTAAATCAAGATTGAAGACTTTTCTGTTTGCTGCTGCCTTTAATTGAACCACATTCAATTAATATATTAATCAATTTCCTGCATTTCTGCATTTACTACTGTATTTTATTTCTTACACTGTTTTTATTGTTTCAATGAATGTTCTTAATTGTTTTTAAATCTCCTTTTCTTTTGCCTTATGTTTTGATGCTTTTAGTGGTTTTATGTGAAGCACTTTGAATTACCTTGTTGTTGAAATGTGCTATACAAATAAACTTGCCTTGCCTTGCCTTGCCTTACAGAGGCAGTAAGACAGCCCAACTGCATACGTAATCCAAAACCGATTATTAAAAGGCACACGCCTTTTAATCATTTGTGTACTCATACGTACTGTATACAGGTTTGTCTACAAGAGGTAAAATGTGGGGGAGAGGGGAAGAATCCAAACTCCAAACTCTTATTTTGAAATGTCACACCGGAAGTTTAATGCAATAATCCAGTTGACTTGACAATGCTCGAGGGAAAGTCAGCCGGAGGGACTGCGAAGATTATAGCAAGTGGATTTGACAAGTAACTCAGTCCATGATAATGAGTCAGTAAGACAGTTTTGACTCACCACAGTAAGTTGGACTACTGAACATTTGATCGATTATTGTGTCGTAGTTAGCGTTCACTTTGCGGTCTTTGTGCTTCGGGTCCAGCTGGACTGTCATCTCTGTCACTTGTTGGACCTGAAATAGAAAATACTAAATTGTTTTGTTCTTTCCAAAATGTCGTTTTATTGTTAGAGATATGTTAAAAAAAAAACCTCACCGCTGCGAAAATAAATGTCAGTTTGGTGTGCTAACTCACAGGTGTTAGCATAATGGGCATCCAACGAGTTTAGGAGCAACAGCGGATCTTCGGAGCTCGAGCACCGCTATCACCTCGAGTAGATCGCAATCACTGCAATGACCGAGTCCTCGAAACCGCCTTCAGGGTAAGTCCTTCAAAACAAAACATTACAGACTAATCACAGCACTTCAACGTTTATATTCTTCTTCTGACTTTTTCATAACTTTATCGATAATTGCTCTTATTTTAGCTTGAAAAGAAAAAAAAAAAGGTTTGGCCGCTAAAATATATGCGCAAATAAAACGGAACATGTCTCCTTTGACTTATGTCTTTTATAAATAGTGTGCAGTTCATCGCATGAGCCCAGAAACAATATGTATCACTATTCCGTTGTTCTCAACACTAAGTTTCTTGTTTTTTTTATCAGTAACCACGAGGTGTTTTCTTGATAACAGTAATGCCAGTATAATAAAGCCACTGAGGAATGAGGCTAGTTGGTGCTTCATTGAGTAGCTGCCCCATGACAAACACTTGAAAGCCATTTGTTTGGTCAGTACTGACAACACAGAGAGGGTTCCAGCAGCCGGACCAGCCTGCTCTCTATTGGCCTGCTGTCTCTCTGCCACTCACAGACAATCAGTACCAACAGCTCTGGAGCTGAGCACAGTAACTAGTGCAACCACTGTGCATTCCTTGTAGTTATTTTGTTGGAGGTAAACAGCTCTTGGCCTTTCAGATGTCATTGGGAATTGAATTGAATTGAATGGCCTCGTTTTTATTAATTAATTTGTTATTGCAATGGGCTAATCTGGATTTTCTTTTTACAACTAATTCAAGGTAGAGTTTTATTGTCTTAGTGAATCGTTCACTGACCAGGTATGATCCTGCATCAGCATTATGATGTGCTACTTCTGATAATAGCTGTGTACCATAGAGCCACAAGTTGCTGATGTCATCGATTCTTCAGTCCGCCTTGTGATTATTGTTTGAAGGTGGGCTTTCTGTCTGTTTCCGAGGGCTCACACCTTCTTAACTATCAGGCATCAGCTCCTCGGGACGCTCTAAACTACTCCATCTGTACTGCAGGTGTGTGTGTGTGGTGAAGGCTAAACAGCACCTGATGGACGGTAAGAGATGGGCGTTCTCCAGCAGCAACAAGAGTAGTGTGTGAAACAGTGTTGATGAGTTATATTAAGGTTTGGCCTGTTTCTCCTCTGATCTTTCAAGTAAAGGTCTCTTTAACCAGATACTCCTAAACACTGTGATTTCAGACACTCAGGAGCCTTTTGGCCAAATAACAAAGTCGACTGGTCACAGAGTCAGCTGGCAGTGGACCCAAAATGCCTCTTTATCCAGTCAGTGTGTGACATTTCTGTCCATATAAATTACCATGACAACTCCCTTTGTGTGGAGATCTCTCCTTCGTCATCACACGGGGAGCAGCTCCTCCACTACACAGCCCAGTCTTAATGAAACACAGCTCATAAAACCTACAGGAACACACACACACACACACACAGAGCGTGGTCATTAAGCAGATCATTGAGGAGGGAAGAGATTGTTTGTGTGTGTGTGTGTGTGTGTGTGTGTGTGTGTGTAAAGCCTGAGTGCGTACTTGAGGAGTGGTGGAAAGGAATTAGGAATTAAGCCTTTAGCTTTGCGCTTTATAAGCCTGTTATTAAGCATGGAAAACAAACACCTCCCAGAGATACATGAGTGTATTGCTCATAGTGCATTGAGATCAAGATTATCCAAAATCTGACCCAAGGTCTGGCAGCTGGCCTTCAAATGAATGTCATCAAAATACTTTACCGTAACCCCCTTTTATGTCTATGTGCGTCTGCCTCAGTGCTTGTTTGTGCGCTGAGGGAGCTTCAGTCCGGGAGCCTCTGATTAATGTGGTTTTGTTAAATGCTCTTAATTTTAGTATCCTCTCCCACAGGAGCAACAAGGAAGCAACAGATCTACACAATGGGAGAATTAAGAGGGAGCTGCTCGAATAAACTCTTCACAGCATCACTCACTTTATTTTAATTTTACGAAGCTTAATGGACCCTTTTTCTGTTTTTCCTGTTTGTCTTTTTCTGGAGACACAACCACGTGTGACGCCTGAACCTTGTGTGTCAGCGTGAGTTTACCGATGAACACATTTGTTGCCATATGTCACCAAGCAGACTCGGCACATTTCTTATCTCTAGATTTTCCTTTGAAAGTGCCTGATGAAGTGCAAAGACTAGAGAATTAAAAAAAGCCTCGCCGCTCTCTACATCCGGATTTCTGCGCTGCCATCTGCCTCGCTGTTGGTAGGTCGCACATTTTTATTTGAAATGCATCTGTTGTTTGTGTCAGCATCACTTCTGTCTCTATTCAGTTTTACCCACAGGAAGACCAGGCTGGCAGATCTTTACAGATAAATACAATATGGGGTTACAAATAACTGTCCTCAGCTCAGCACACGCCCAGAGATAATTATTGTCCCGTGTGCACTCATGGGCGCTGTACACCAACACCAGTTGCTAGCTGCACTGTAA